GCGGGAACTTGCAAACTGTATCTGACTCTTGCCAGCGAAGAGTTCCAATTTGCTTGAAGACATGCGCACTGCCAAATCTAGGGTGTTGAATCGACACCCTGGGTATCATTTTAGAGCAACACTGGATAATATTGTCCAATACGGATGCGAATGGTATTAAATAAACATGAATTCAACAGCATGGTTGGTGCCTTGTGATATTGTATTTACTGGAGAAACAACATTGAACAAAACTAAATATCAATCATTTCAATGCGACCCACCTGCGTGGTGTATATCTTAACATGTTATTAAGAACTCCATTTTTCAACTATATGATTCCATTCTCTCCATCCATAAGGCAACAGAGCCTCAACAGAGAGAAATTTGAAGTTGTAGAGACGTTCACCCAAGACTTGTAATATTCTCAGGCACAAGAGGCTAACGGTTCCTGCATTGAAACATAATTTTGTTCATTATGAAAAGTCCATTTTTCTCCTCGTTTTTGCTTTTCATTGGGCTGCCTGAGTTAAGTACGCCAGACATTCGCTGAAGGCTCAGCATCCATTTATCTTGCGTCTTCCTGGCACGACGTAGCCCGTCGGCCTTTTTGAATCAAAAGGAGTACTTTTCCTTTCCATTTCTGCATTACATCTACAGCCATGACGAGAAAGCCCCCATTTTCATGAGGGAAGAGGCTTGGACGAGCAAACTCAGTGAGTCGGCTGGCAAAAAAAAAAACAGAGTAGCTCTTATCGTTCCTGCAGATTGACGACGCAGCGGTGCTTATCTAACGCCAAGACAAAGCGCCTTAATGGTTGCATAGGCCAGATGTCCCTTCAGTCTTCGCTATGAAAGCATCCCGCCTTATTTGATTAAAAATAGTCAGCAGTCAGAAAAATGATGAAACCGAAGGATAGCTGACATTAGTTGACTGAACATGTCAGGCTTTGTTTCTTTTATGCAAACAACAGTTTTAAAGGGAGCAGATACGGAAAAGTGTACTGCATACCTTAGTTCCAACCATTGATAGTATATTTAGCATTGCTACATTTCGCATGTAAGAATCTCTTTGCGAAAAGGATTGCTACCTAGCTAGAATGATTGATTTATCAAACTGTCGCCTGTGTCGCTATTTCAAACCCAGCTACTTTTCTTTCCACTTAAAGCGAAATATCTTGTTGTACCTAAAGCTCAGCTTTCAGTCTCCCGTATTTCCTCAACACAACCTCCATCTATTTTGTCTCATGTGTTGGCTAACTCCAAAACTGAAAGATTTAATTAAAACAAATGTAAGATTGGCTGGAGGGTGCAGTAATGTAAAACCCCATAACACAAGAAGACGCCCACAATTAAAGGGGGAAGACACATTCAGTGAACTTGTAATTTCCCCGATGATGCGAGGTCCCTTGGGGCCGTTCCAAGCATGTTATTGTTTTCCATTCTTGCGAGGCCTGTCAACGTCTTGAAATCACTTTCTCACCGTTCGCGCGCTGGTACGTTCAGCCGTAGAAGGCTCGGGAGGGGATGTTACTAGGGGACTCAGTATTGGCCGGGGGAGTTCCGCCGAGACACTTTCAGGCTAATAACTCACACCTAATGGCCGGCTGCCCACGCATAGGCACCATCAGCTACTGTGACTGCAGAACATGTAATATTACATAGGCCATATCGAAAAGTGTGCAGAAATTAGGTAAAGAGTGAAGGTTTGACAATGCTATGGTTATCGCCAACCATCAAACCACTTTTTTTCAGGGCAGGATGTAGGGCTTCATGGCTTCACTAATGCCCTTCCGCAGAACATCTATTTTGCCTAAGGCAATCAAACCGGAGATTCAAGACCCAAGTATACGTGCACAATGACATTTTTTTTCAGAGCAAAAGGTCAGAGCCTAAAGCCCGAACCACATTGGCTACATTGATAGGATGGAGTCCTTAACACTTCGTTGTTTCCCCTTGAACATTCTTGCCATTTCAGCTTGCCTTTGAATAATAAACGCAAGGCGTCAGAATTTCTAACAAGAATTTGCAGTCTTTGATTCCAAGTTGATCTATTAAGTACGTGATTTACACATTTTTCTTTTTACCTTGTTGTAATTAAAGTAATATCCAGCGTTAACGTTGATAGCAAAGTATTTTTCTATATCCATCTCAACGTTTAACGCCCGACACTGTAGTCTCTTATTTCGGGAAGTTTATGAATTTAGAGATTTAGGATTTGACAACTCTTGGCCAACTCCTATGCTACATACAATGCATATCAACTGATATGTTATTCCACGTGACAGGAAGCAAAGAGAGTTGTCTTTAAAACCTGGCCATCCGATATCACGCCATGCTTCATTATTCTATGACTGTTACTGATACAATGAACCCGAACCTTGCCAGGCTTCGTTTTTGACAAGAGGGATTTGCCTGTCAAAGAAATCGTGCGATAGGTCCATGTCCGTGTGGGAGCGTGGAGCCCCCCCCCCCTTCAGTTCCATTTTCCAGTTCCCCGTACATTTGAAAGATATGTAAGAAGACTCCAAAATCTTCCCTCGTTTGCTTCGAAATGTATACCCATGCATCTGCAGTAACTCTTGCAGGGTTTGCCGGCCACGCGGCTAACGTTGCGTTGTGAACAAATAAATGATTTGTTTAAAAAAAGAGGACATAATCTTGATGCTGAGTACACTGCCGTGTTTTAGATTGTAATGGCATCGCTTCTAAGAAACAACACAGGGCGAATGTAAGACTAAGGAGTACGGCCTCCGATCACGCCACACCACAGGGTTGGAAATAATTATTATTTTTCTTTACAAATGCCTGTTTTTGTGTGCCCGTGGGACTATAGGGTATTCTCTATGGCGACAAACACGTCACTCATTGCTTCAGTAAATTATAAGAGCCGGTTCGCCCTTTCATGTTCGGATACCGGGCAGTCGTGTCTAACACCACGCCCCCGCTTTTCAAAGGGAAAATCGTCTTTGCTTCGAACCGTTTAAATCTAATTTAACATTAGAGACCGTCCTGGCCAAACACAAATCTGTGAAAATTCTACCCTTTGCTGAGAAGTCAAATCGTATGAGCAGTGGAGAAGAACGTAAGCGGGAAATGGGTATCTGTAGGGATTGGTATCTCCAATCAGATGGGACGAGATAAAAGCTAATAGAGACAATTAGATTGCAAAACGAATCACCCAGGGATAAATGTTTACACAGACTTTCGGTCGGTGGAGAGCTTGGTTTGAAGACGAAAGCAAGGACGGCCGAGTCCCATTGAACGACGCCATTATTACTCAGCCTTTGCGGATATGGCTTTTCGGGTTGGAACATAAACCGGAGCTATCTACCGTAGACGAATTGATGAAGGCGGTGGCGATACACGCGGCGCGTGTAATAGATAAATTCGTTTTGGTAGCGTTCTGCGCGCCGAGGGCATGCGGACACTCGTGTATGTGTTTGCTCGCAGAAAGAGAGCGAGAGAGAGAAAAGCTTTGATGTTTGAGAACCAGTTAAATGTTTCAAGGAGGAAATGAATACAGCTCGATATTGCTTGAAGAACCGTGTGTTAATGTCTAGCTATTTCTTTTCTCTCTCTCTCTCTCTCTCTCTCTCTCTTCTTTATTTGCCTACATTAGTCACGATCGAGATTTATCAGTGCAATTCTTCTTTGATGAATCACACGAACCTGCAGGAATTCTTGAAATATCTGTTTCTCTATCTGTGCCTAAAGAGGTAATTTAGGCATACACAATGTGTACCAGTCTTGATTTTCTACTATTGAACAAAATGCACTACTCTACCACCTAGAGGGCGTGTTCTGTGTGTGTGCGTTGTGTTCTTTGCTTCAAACGGTGCATCGATGACTCATGTGTTAAGCTGTGTGTATGTTACTTGATTCAAGTCTACTTTCATGACGCACTATAAAGTCTAGTTTGGGCATAGGAAATTGCATTAAATCTGGAAACTTTCATGGCGCACTTTTTTATCAATGTACGTTTACACACTCAGACAGCATGTGGTATTATTTTCGTTGATCAAAATCCCATGAAAGCTTAAAAAATTTAATCACCCTCAGAAAATTTTTGAGACATTTTATAACGACGGGGCTTTCTTCACTTAAAGACATCGACTTGGTTCGCGACTCAGCGGTGTTTGATCAAGTCTTATGTAAAGGCAATTGTGATCACTTTATTCATTATAATTTGCAGGATATTATAGAACGGTGGTCTTCTGCTTTAACATTCTACTGCAATCCTTTGTAGGAAATAAGTAACTCCTGTGTCCCCATTGGATGGTTCTCGTGGATAAACTTTATAGTCTCAGAGACACAGTCCACTTGTAAGATAGAAGTATCGCGACACGGCAATTTTTCTAGCAGTTTACGGGTATCCATGGTAAACCTCTGCGGCCTGAATACACGAGGATAAAGGCACTATAGACTGATGTTAATCATTCTTTTAAACCGCTCAATTTTAACGTGGTTGAATCATTTTATATTTCACCACTACGTCTCAGTGCATGACTGCTGAAAGTTTTAAGCAGACTTGCACTCGTTCATGGTATTTGAAGGACCTTTTCCCACTAAAATGAACTCCGGTGGATGTATTTCGAATGTGGGTTTGCCATTAACTTCCTTTGAGACATTTACGATACCACTTACACGAATGTGGGTTTGCCATTAACTTCCTTTGAGACATTTACGATACCACTTACACGTATCGACAATAAGGAGACTACAGTATGTTAAGGGGGGAAACTTAGCCTTCTCTACAGCCCCTACCTGTCGCATGGAGCTTGACAGACCTTGAAATAGGCTTTGACATTCGACATCTTTTGTAGGCACATAATTATCTCACAGCCAACGTGACAATAACTATTTTGACCATAATGTACCTTGAAATCACGTTGATAAATAGTTTACATCAGCATCCCCAGGCTTTCTTTATCATTATAATCACCGTCTTTTATCAGTAATATAAACAGGACCAGGGATATAGTGTTAGAGCTACGGGGGCATGGTTGTTTCCAACTTACCACGTATATCAATCAGGTGTTTTTCAAGAAATTCACATCACGACAAATCCTTGATGTCCAAAGAGGCTACATCCGCAGTCTAAGAACTGTAAAAACTAAAAAGCCTTCGGGAAGAGTTCGATTCAGCCAATCCTCCGTAGGGTCAGGCAGTCGGCGCGCACGAGAGAAGATTGCCTCGATGTTTACAACCTGGTCGCGGGTAAATATCGCTACTCCCCACAACACATCGGTTTCGGGGAAAGAGTTGGATCTGGCATCGGTTTGGGGGGGGGGGGCAGCAGACAACTGACGACTGATTTTTCACGATAGACGGTGGTCTCCAAATCCGACGCAAGAAAAGCCCATCGACATCAGTGGCCCACATCTAACTGCATAGTGACGCACGCACGCACACACACGCACACAAGTCAACAGATCCCGCCCCGGACCTGTCTGGTAGGGAGAATCCTCCAAGAAACTCCGGTAAAGATCCGACGGTGGTGTCGTGAACACTTCGTGCTACAGGGGTTGTGCTATATTTATAAGCGACCCGTCCGCGAGTGCCGGTGATGATGAGTGCTTGTCGAGCTAGCGGAACGTTCCATTCTCTGAATTCGCGCGGGATATGGAGCATCCGCAATTTTCCCAATGGTAGAGGGACTTGGAGTCAACTCCGGCGCAGGCGTCGCAATAAGATTGCACCATCAGCTAATATATTCCTATCTTCACTCTCCTCTAACGTTTTTTTTTACTATTTTGTTTACTCTGTAATAAATTGAAACCTTCTACAGACCTGTTTTTCACTCTCATATTATAAGCAATTCGCTGTCTAATGTAACGGCTATAACACTGGGAATTAAAGAGCGGCGCGGGCAGCGTTGAAGACAACAGCCTCGCTGGCCCTCTGGAAAAATGCAGAGATCAAATTGCGCAGATCAAAACAATTTCAATCTATCACAAATCGTTAATGCTCAATAGTCATTTCCACACGCCTACGAGTGTTTGAACCCCCTAAATTGCCGTCAGCACTGTGCGTTGTCAACAGGATACGCATATTTTTCTACTCATATTTGAGCTCGAATTAATTGGATTGGTAACGTCGAACGGTGTCCAACAGACAGGGGAGCAATACCGTTCTGGCGTTTCATTTCGTTCGCAACTTCTATTCCTGTTCACTTGTGCCAGGATTTTTCGTTAACAGCAATGGACTGAATTTTTAATTGTCTTGTAATGAAAAACATCGGCCAATATTGCCAATGTATGTTTTGTTTTCACCTTTTGCTCGATTATGTAATGCAAATTTATATGAGAAAAGTACCCACAGTAGGGGACAAAACGGGTTCTTACAAGCATATAAATATCAGATATACGGCCGTATGCAAAATTTAGGTAGGAGAAAGACACACAGTAAGAAAGATTTACAATTTAAAGAAGGTGTGCCAACAAAACATTGAACAGAAATACAGGACAACGCAGAAGAAGCGAAGATGTGCTTGAACTAAAATCAGTACGCGTAGGTTGCGGAGAGCGTCCATCTAAATACGGGCGTTTCACAATAGTGCGCCACCAAGAGTTTGCAACGCGTAGGCCAATCACAATGTGAGAAATCCGTCCACCCAGTGCGCGTTTGGAAAGGGTCGACAAATGTCGCGCTTTGTGATTGGCCAACGCGTTGTAACCTCTTGGTGGCGCACTGTTGTGATACGCCCGTATTGCACAGAGTGAGACGCGGCAAACGGATGCGGATGTGGAACGGACCAAATAATAATCTATAAAGGCGACTTTAGCTGCCCGTGAAAGTTTGTTCTTTCCTTGCTCATATTTAATGAAAGAGATTTGCATTTGCTGGTGGGCCTACCATTTGGCATGGGGCGTTTTCTGATAGTATTGCTCTCATTGGTGTGTGCTGATCTTTTTCTCAGCAAGCCATCCGCTGTACTTGAAAATAAGGAATGCAGCCGGCATGCGCTTGAAGGGCAGGCCACTTCTGGGTATATTAATTCTATATCGCTGCATTTGAAGTACCACGCTTCTTTACCACACACCCTCGATTAATGACATCCCTGGAGCCCCAATTAAAACACACGTGTCGGACGGCAAAATGAGAAAAAGAGGGCTGGCACCACACGCCGTAAGACCCGTAAAGAAAAGACCGCCCGTAGCTCCTGCTTGTGTTTGGAATCTAGGCAGCAAGGCAGTCTAGTCGTTTCCCTAGTCCTAGCAATAATCTGTCGGGCGTGTTTCCGCCTTCCAAATGAAGATTTTTTTCCGAACCGAAGCGACCAAACGAATAACCCACTTCCGATGGTAAAAAAGGGGACGACTTCATTACCTAATTTTCTCACGAGGCTTTCACTCGATTCCTAAATCCTGCGACAGGGTTATAGCGAGCTTTTTCAGTGAGCCTTACTGTACCTTTTTTTTAACAAAAAAAAAACCTTTTTTTGAACTCGGCCTGGAAAAATATCACCGCTACTTTAGCTTGATAGATTGCCGCGATAGAATCACTGTCCAGAATAAATTTGAAGAAGGGCTGTAAATTCAGGCGGAATTATCTGATTTGAGTATTCAGCACTGGGAGTCAAAACACCTGCGGAATATTAACAGCTTTCTCAGAACATCGTGAATTTCTTTTTCCTCTGCGAGAAAAGAAGACGTTTGGAATTTAGCGAGTATTTGTGCAGATTTCAAGTATGCATCTCTCAGGAGATCGTCAAGAAAAATGTATACAAGATCGCGAGTCCTTTCCCCCAAGTTTGACCTTTGTTATTAGCACACACACCACAGACAAAATTTCGGAATTAGTCAGGAAGCAATAGTTAATTGATTTGCTCACCACCTTACTATTTTTATTGTCGAATAACTGTCGATACATTTGTGATCAACTCTGTGAAAATGAGTCTTAAGTCGCCAGAGCCACTTTTTGAGTTTTCATTTGTACTAGAAAGAGCAAATTGAGTTTTTTGTTTTGATGTATCACTCAGTTTGCCATCGTGATGAAAGTGGATACTCCAAGGTGAAAAATGCTGTGGGTTCCTATTAATTTACACTGTACAAAATTATTCTCAAGGACTTTTCACTCCAAAGTGGCACTGGCGACTTAGGACTCATTTTCACAGAGTGGGTCACATTTGAGAGAACGCTGAGAGTCACAAAGTTCATATTGAGACTAAACTGTACTGCTACTAATAAGAATACCGGAAATGGTCCAATGATATTTCTCAGTTGTTTGTTTTGATTAATGCATTTCGTTTCTTGTTGCCTGCATCATACCTACAGTATAGATACTTGTGGTAATTGTTATAGAGAGCTCAAAGTTAGGGTGTTTCTTTTAAAAGTACACGAAAATTAAGAAGGTGAAAATGATCTACTTGAAGTACCCACTTTTCCCATTTATATCACTCGAACCAGGTTTTGTGATATTTTATTGAAGTTAATCAAATTTACATTGTGCAGTGTTTACTGCCAAATATTTTGCTGGCTGCAATAGGCCTAACCTGAATACAAATCAAACAAGTTACAAGATTTGATGTTTTGAGGCTAAAATAATTTATCTCTATGCCTTTGAGAAGGACTCTGTTTTGTTTGAAACGATGGACCCTCGTACTAGTAAAGAGTTCATCAGCTGAAGAAGTACAGAGGTTAGCCACTTATACAAAAATCAATTACCAATTTAAATTACCGTCTCCCAATATGCCAGACTAAAACAATGAATTCAAATTAAAAGAAAATGAATTAAATTCCCTCTTATACCTTTAGAGACTGCGAGGTCTTTAAAGGCCACCTTCTGATGATCTTCAAATGAAGTGCCATCTTTGATATTGTTCCCTTATCAGAAAGGGTCGCGCTTGCAGCGTCCCAAATGAAAAGTGAATCCAGCCATAAGCTATATATATCGAGTTGCTATTGGGTATTAAAGTATAAGCGTATATAGTCATCGTCCCACTGGTTCTTCTAATTTTGTATCAGTTCTCGGTGTCGTAACCGGGACTTACCTGGAGAAAGCTAGGGAGCGTTTACAGCGGTAATAATGCATATTATATTCGGTAGCTTGACATTTTCTCGACTCATCAGGGGAACCGATGTAATCACGCCCGAAGCTTAGGCTCCAGCTGCACACTCGAAGTCTGCACTGAACACTAAGAGAGATGAAATAAGCCTATTGATAATTAAAGAGACGAATATACGGGAACTTCACTAATTGGCGTTCAGATGACCCGTACGAAATCGTCAGGGATCGGGAGCGAAATTGGAGGAGTTCATGTCTTGCAGTAAATAGAAAGTTGGATTTAAACTATTGCGCCTTTTTTTTTACAGTGCCCGAACCATTTACAGCATTAATCCTCAATGAATGCCAATGGAAATAGTTGCCTTCTTGTTTTAATACGGAAGGGTTGGTCTAGAGGCGACTGATTTGAAACGACAGTTGGTAATGGACCTATTCTGGCGGTTAATCTAGATGACGTGGCTTCTTTGCATGACTCGCCTCAAGCAGTCACATTCGCTGCCTTGGTAAAAAGCTCCATGGCCTATTTTGATTTGAGAAATTCTTCTGTCGGCCAGAAACACAATACATGAAGAGCGTACGGTAAAAAGTAATTGCGGCTGGACTATATTAAGATCTATGGAAGTTATCTTCAGGACATTCTTGTAATCGTGCAGCCATCGCGTCTTATGTTAGTACGGCTTTCGTTGCTATCTGAACTGGCAATTGTACATATCTCATTCAACCTCCCTGTAGACTCGGAAACAAGGAACTTAATCTTTGGCAAGGCGAATTTCGACTCAGATATTGAACCAAGCCTTTTCCGTAACAGAACAGTTTTATTTCCAGCTCAGTATCAGCAAGGATACCTCTTGACATATTGACATGGGATATTCTTGACATTGTAGTCTGAACATCCACTTTTTATTCCTGTGAAGTCTGAGCCGAAATGATGAAATAAATTCTTTACAGCTGTACTAAGTAGTATTTCACATTGTCGTTAGAGATTGTACCTGAATCTTGTATCGTGGAACTGAATACATATCAAATCTTGCCAATACTCAGGGTACAAAACATCTTGCTTTGGTATCACCTTTCTATGTGTATAACCCCTTTAAATACGTCACATCAGTCAAAAGCGGATTACTCACGATACAGCCAGGCGTTTTGTGTTATTCTGAGGTCCAGACTCCTTAAAAGCCTTGCGTCAGATGCATATTAACACGGAAACTACTACTCAAACTACGTGTAAGATGTGCAATATCACAGAAAGATTCACAGTTAAAAAGAGGCCTCTTGAAAGGACCTTGAAAAGGACGCTGTAAAGCTTGGTAAAACCCTTATCTTTTGCGCACATTGATTGCAATTTCAGTTGAGGTCAAAAGTTGGTTCCTACACCTGTCACGAAATCGCTGTAAACTTGAACGATGACAAATAACACGTAGAACACTTGGAACAAATTGAGAAAAAAAGTTATGCAAACAAGAAGGACACTGCGTTTAGCACTTCAGAGTTCCGCTTGAGG